TTTTATTTTTTTGATTTTTTTGATTATTTATTTATTTGCTTGAGAGCACGAAGATCAGTGGGCATGGTGATGAAGCAGTGGTCCTTCCCAAATAACTGGTGTGTGTCAACGTTTTTTTTTTTATTTTTTTTATTTTTTGATTATTTATTTATTTGTTTGTTTATTTTTTAGGCAAGGCAACTCTCGGTTGACCTCACAGATTGCAAGGACCTTGTCAGCTTACAATCCCTTATTTTTTATTTTTTACACCTACAGCACCTGGTCTTCCTAGGTGGTCTCCCATCCAAAGACTAACCAGGCCCGACCCTGCTTAGCTTCCAAGATCAGACAGGATCGGGCTTGTTCAGGGTGGCATGGCCGTAGACCCAACGTTTGTTTGTTTGTTTGTTTGTTTGTTTTTTAATATATTTTTTAGAACTGTTTTAGGTTTACAGGAAATCGAGCAGACAGTATGGAGAGTTCCCAAATGCCAACGCAGAGCTTATATTACCAACATTTTGTGTCAGGGTGGTACATTTTGGTACAGCTGATGAACCAATATTGGTACGTTAGGGTTCCATCTTGGTGTTGTAGATTCTGTGGGTTCGGGCAAATGCGTAATGACATGGATCCACCACTGCAGTATCATGCAGTGTAGCTGCTCTGCCCTAAACCCCTTGGGCTTCGTCTAGTCTTCCTTCCCCACCTCCACCTGAGCCCCTGGTGACCACTGGTCTTTTTACTGTCTCCACAGTTTCATTTTTTCCAGAATTTCGTGCAGTTGAAATCATCCAGCCTTTGCAGTGTGACATCTTGTGCTCAGCAATATGTATTTAAGGTTCTTCCATGTGTTTTCATAGCTTGATAGGTCTTTTTTTTCTTTCTATCACTAATTATGTTTCATTGTGTGAATGAATGTACCACGGTGTATTTATCTAGTCACCTTTTAAAGTCTTCTGAGTTGCTTCCAGTTTGGGGCAATTATGAGCAAAGCTGCTATAAATATGTATCCCAAATAAATAATCTTAAAACTCAACAATAAGAAAACAAACAACCCAATTTAAAAATGGATGAAAAATCTGAACAGACACTTCACCACAGATGGCAAATAAGCATTGAAAAGTTGCTAAACATCATATGTCATTAAGAAATTACAAATAAAACATGAAACATCTATTCATTTATTTAGATCTTTGATTTCTTTCATCAATATGTTATTAGTTTTCTTCATATAGATCTTGTGCATATTTTGTAAGATTTATACCTACATTTTTTTTTCAATGCTAATGTAAACGGTGGTGTGTTTTTAATTTAAAATTTCAGTTTTGCCTTACTGGTATATAGGAAAACAATTGATGTTTGTATATTAACCTGTATCCTGCAACCTTGCTGTAACTGCTTATCAGTTCCAGGAGTTTTGGGATATTGTTATTGATTCTTTGGAATTTTCTACATAGGTAATCATGTCATCTGCAAAGACAGTTTTATTTCTTCCTTCTCCATTAAGTATGCCTCTCATTTCCTTTCTTGTCTTATCGCATTAGCTAGGACTTCCAGCATGATGAAAAGGAGGGGCAAAAGGGGCCATCCCTGCCTTGTTCCTGATCTTAGTGGGAAAGTTTGTAATTTCTCACCATTAAGTATGATGTTAGCTTTAGGGTTCTTATTGCTGTTCCTTATCAGGTTGAGGAAGTTCCCCCTTTTAATCCTAGTTTGCCAAGTTTGTTTTTTTTTTTAATCAGGAATCGGGGTTAGAGTTGGTCAAATGCTCTTTCTTCATCTGATCATGTGGTCTTTTTTCTTTACTCTGTCGATGCAATGGATTACATTAATTGATTTTCAGATGTTAAGCCAGCTTTGCATACCTGTAATAAATCCCATTTGGTTGTGGTATATAATTCTTTTTATACATTGTTGGATTCGATTTGCTAATATTTTGTTGAGGATTTCACATCTATGTTCATGAGAGATATTGGTCTGTAGTTTTACTTCCTTGTAATATCTTTATCTTGTTCTGGTATCAGAGTAATGTAGGCCTCATAGAATGAGGCAGAACGTGTTCCCTCTGCTTCTATTTTCTGGAAGAGATTGTAGAGACCTGGTATCATTCCTTCCTGAAATGTCTGATAGAATTCATCAGTCTGGGCCTGGTGCTTTCTGTTTCGGAAGGTTATTAATTATTGATTCAAATGCTTTAATAGATATGGACCTATTCAGATTATCTAGTTCTCCTTATATGAATTTTGATAGACTGTATCTTTCAACAAATTAGTCCATTTCATCTAAGTTATTGAATTTGTGAACATAGATTTGTTCATAATATTCCGTTATTATTCTTCGACACCTATGGGATCAGTAGTGATAGCCTCTCTTTCATTTCTAATCTTAGTAATTTATATTTTCTCTGTTTCCTTGGTTAGCCTGCCAGAGACTTGTCAGTCTTTTCAAAGAACTGGCTTTTGGCTTCATTGATTTTTCTCTATTGTTTTACTGTTTTTGATTTAATTCATTTCTGCTCTCATTTTTATTCTTTTTCTTCTGGTTGAGGTAGGCTTATATTGCTCTCTTTTCTCTAGTTTCCTAAGATGGAAGCTTAGATTATCGATTTTAGATCTTTCTTCTTTCTCTAATATATGCATTCAATGCTGTAAATTTCCCTTGAAACACTGCTTTTGCTGCATCTCACAAACTTTTATAAGCTGTATTTCCATTTTCTTAGTTCAAGATAATTTTTATTTTTCTTGAGACTTCTTCTTTGAGCCATTTAGAAGTGTGCTGTTTAATCTCCAAATATTTTGGAATTTTCCAGCTCTCTTCCCGCTGTCGATTTCTAGTTTAATTTCATTGTAATCTGAGAATATATTTTCCATAATTTTTCTTCTTTTAAATTTGTTGAGGTATGTTTCGTGGCCCAGAATGTGGTCTGCCTTTGTAAATGTTCCATGTGAGCTTGAGAAGAATATATATTTTGTTGTCGTGGGAGGAAATAGTCCATAAATGTCAATTAGGTCCAGTTGATTGATGGTCCTGTTGAGTTTAACTTTATCCTCACTAATTTTCTGCTGGGTCTGTTACTGATAGAGGGACGTTGAAGTCTCCAGCTATCAAAATGGATTTGTCTATTTTTCCTTGCGTTTCTATCAGTTTTTGCCTCACATATTTTGACACTTTATTGTTAGGGACATACACATAAAAGATGGTTATGTCTTCTTGGAGAATTGACCCCCCTTTTTCAGTTCACAATTCCCCTCTTTATCCCTGATAACTTTCCTTTCTCTGAAGTCTGCTTTATATGAAATTAATATAGCTACTCTTGCTGTCTATGTTTTGGCACACAATATTTTGAGTGCCAAAGTGATAGAAATTCACAGACATGGTTCCATAGGGTAGTGGTTAGCACATCTGCTTTACACGCAGAAGGTCCTGGGTTCGAGCCATGGTCCATGGTCTACGGCCATGCCACCCTGAACGAGCCTAATGTCGGATCTCGGAAGCTAAACAGGGTCGGGCCTGATTAGTACTTGGAGGAGAGACCACCTAGGAAGACCAGGTGCTATAGGCATAAATAATAATTAATTAATTAATTAATTAGATAAAAGAAATTCACCGAGTGGGTAAAAACACAGACATTTGAATCAGGAAGACCTGGGTACAATCCAGGCTAGCCAACCTGGATGACTTTGGGCAAATTTAATAATTCTGTGCCTCGGTTTCCTCATCTACGAAAAGAAGGTCTAAAAAGAAGGCCTATCCCTTTGGATTATTGTGAAGATGAAATGGAATAATGCAGTAAAGCACTTAGCAAGTTTCCTGGCATGTAATGTTAAATTAATGCATCCTACTAATGTTTTGGTTATTATATTATGGGACTTTAGCATAGATTTCTAAGTGCAGGTACTCTTTGTATGAAAGTTAGATAAGACGCTGTAAGAAGATAAACTTAGAAAATAATTTCAAAGTCTTGGGCTAGAGTTGATGTCTCATAGGCAGTGTCTTGAAAAGACAGATGACTTCACATGTGCCCTGCAGCCCTTTGTATTAAAGTGATTATGGGGGAACCTTCTCCTCCCACTGCTGATTCACAGACATACTGTCTGGGGTCTCTTTCTTTTGGGGAAATGTTGTGACACCAGGCCCCTTGGGTTAGATAAATTCTGACAGGCTTTTAAGAAGCAACAGAAATAACTAATCACATGGGAAACTCTTCATTGTACATCACGGTTTTTTCAAAGGTAATTATAAAACTGTGTTGTGTGGCATGATCTCAATTTCTGTTTAAACTTTTAAAAAAGATTGTAAGCATTAAAATAAAAGCCTTTTTTAAGGCAGACGAGCACTCTGCAGCATCCTAGCTTTGTAACCTCGGCCAGGGTTCTGTGTATGTAGAGGCTTCTCAACACTGCACGGCATTGAGAGAACATTTATCTGAAATTTCTTCTTTGTACTTCTCTCCAGTTCTCATTTTCTGCAATGTTAAGAAGAACATGTTATTTTTCAAATGAATAGGACGGACTAATGAACAACAATCATGACAAAACCTCCCCTTAACATACTCTATTCCATGAACTTGGCATTTTCCTTGCAGGAAAATGGACAGTTGTCACTTGCCAACTGACCTCTCTGGTTTATGTTTGGGCCATTTTTGCCTTCTATCCTGCCATTCGGAACAACCAAAAGCATACTGTGTGGAGCCAGAGAAATAGAAAATAGCCAGTTGCCTAGCCAAGCACATGCCCATTCAGACTCCCCTGAGTCTCTTTGGCCTCTCTGTCCCCCGATTCCCCACCCAGCAAACTTGGACACCTGAGTCTGGAGTCAGAGAGAGCACACATCCCAGCTTCACCATGGCTGTGTGACCTTGGGCAAGTCACTTAACCTCTCTGACCCTCAGCATCTTCATTTCGAAATGAGGTTTGTGGTGACCGTCCAGCCAGGCGAGGCACCTGGCACATTCTGGCACCCAGTGACAGCGGGCCCGGCATCGTTCTTGTTTTGCTGACCACCTTCCTCCTCCATTTCAGTCGGCTGACATCGACAACCATCACGCGCTCATTGAGTATAGCGAGGCTGAGGGCAGCTTCGTCCTCCAGGACTTCAACTCCCGCCATGGCACCTTCGTCAACGAGTGCCACATTCAGAACGTGGCTGTGAAGCTGTTACCCGGAGATATCCTGAGGTTTGGTTCTGGAGGGCTGACCTACGAACTGGTCATCGAAAACCCACACTCGGTGAGTCCAGGCTCCCCTGCGAGGGAGTGGGGGCGGAGGTGCTGTGCCTTGTCGCCTTCCGTGCAGCCCGAGGCTCGAGGCTCGGAGACAGCCAAGGGTGGAGCTCGTCCAGAGCAAGACGCTCTCGTGCTCTCGTTTCACAATGTGTGTTCGCTGGCACCACCAGACCGAATGCTGCGAAAGTTCAGAACCACCTGGGTGGGTCCTGGGAGGAGCGAGTCCTCGCGCCCTCTTCTGGGCATTTTGTGGAATTACACGGGAGAGTTTTCTTAGGGCCGGCACGGAACTCAAAGGTTTTCCTGAAAACGCGAAGCTTGGTGGGGGGAGGTGGAAAGCAGGTGTGTGCTTTTGAAAACTCAGAGGTAGATGCTTCCTTACTAGGCAGATGCAGCTTCCTAGGTTTGTGACCTCAGCCAGGGTTCTTTGTATGCCTGGGCTTCTCAACATTGTGTGGCAATGAGAGAATGTCTGTCTGTAAAGTGTGTAGGTCGGTGTCCCGCCTCAAGCAGATGCGCACCATGCGGCAGGTGCTTTATACCCTGAGTCAGAGGTGTTCCTGGGATCATGGCTGAAGGATGGCCCAGTTTAAGCTGAATGTAACACAAAACTTGCCCACCAAAGCTCAGCCACACGGAAACAGGGAGACAGGCCGGTACAGTGGTCAGTGGCACAGCCTCTGGTCAGAATCCCAGCTCGGCCACTTGCTCACTCCGTGTGCTCTGGAGCAAGCCACTGGACCTCTCGGGACCGGGGTTTCCTCACCCACAAGATGGGGTCAGTGGCAGCAGTGACCTTGCAGGCTCACTTCGAGGGCTGAAAGAGATGATTATAATGGTAAAACTCCTAACACAGCGCCCATAATTAACACTTGTCATATGCGTCCCAGAAAGGTGGCATGATTATCTCACTCCCCACCACCCAGAACGCCACATGAACTCAGATCTTTCAGCTTAAGATTCTTTCTGGGACAAGGCTGCGTATAAACAAATAAAATGTAGAGGCTCTGGGCAGAATCCTGGGGCTTAGGGCCATGAGCAGCCCTAAATGTGCACCCCAAGAAGATTAAGAGCATCCCACAGGCCACACGGGCCGTAAAACCACGTCCATCACTTCTGGCTCTGAAAATCTGAGGTGGTTGTTTTTTCTGCTTCTGCTCAGATGCCTTATCCTCCTTGGACCAACATTAAAGTGTGTTTGGCAGCCCTGAGCAGGGGCTCCTGACCCGGAAGGGCTGACCTGGGGTTCTCGCCACAGCTTCTAAGACTCCCCCACATCAGAATCATGTACAGAGTGAACCACCGATGCAGGTCCCAGGCCTCACTCCAGGCCTGGGGACTCAGACTTGGATCTGCCAGATAAAATACAATTAAATTTGAATCTCAAGTAAAGAAAAATCATATTTTAGTATAATAAGTAGGTCCCAAATATTGCTTAAAAAAATTTGGCATTTGTCTGAAATTCAAATTTAATTGGGTCCCCTACGTTTTATTTATTATATGTTATTTATTCATGTGTTTACATAAATCTGGCAACCTTACATGTACCCCTGGGAGCGGGGCCTGAGGATATGCATTCTCACAAGCCCCCTGGTGATTCTCATGCACCCCCGACAGAAGAGAAACCCCAATTTAGAATCATTTGTGTGGCGTATTTACAGATTTGTTTAGGGACCAAAGGAAATGGAATTTTAAACCCCGTGTCTATAATTCTCAGTTTGCGAAGTTTGAGTCTGTGTTTCTCTACCATGTCTGATTACGAGAATTTTTCCGGAATGTTCAGAAAAGTTACAGGCTCCCAGGCCCCCTCCCTGGAAAATTCTGATTTTAGGGCTTACCAGTGGGGGCGAGGGGCAAGCAATATCTGCATTATTTTTTTTTCTTTTTTTCCTACATAGTGATTGAAAACTTATTTATAGGGGTGCAAAATTCAAAATCTAAATGCTCATTAAAAAGAGGCATTGTTTGATAAAAAAGAGTTCATTCATGTATGGAATATTAGACTTCTCTCTTCAAAAACAGCTTTATCGAGATATAACTGACACAATAAACTGCTCACGTTTAAAGTGTATAATCTGATAGGCTGTCGCATATGCACGCACCTGTGAAACCATCACCACAGGGACGACAGCGAACATGTCCATCACCTCTAACAGGCTCCTCATGAACGCATGTCTTTGCTTGCTTGCTTTTAACAGCTTCAGCGAAATATAATTTACATAACGTAACCTTTGCCCATTTTAAGCGTGCAATTCAGTCAATTTTAGTATATTTACAGAGTTACACAGCCATCACTACAATCCCCTCCCCCCGCCCCAAAAAGAATCCTTGCAGGTCCTTAGCTTTTTTGTTTATTTATTTTTAATTTTTTAAATCGTGATAAAATACACATAAAATGTAGCATCTTAACCATTTTTAAGGGTACAGTTCAGTGGCATTAAATACATTCACATTCCCATCTCCAGAACTTTTTCATCTTCCCAAACTAAAACTCTGCACCCATTAAATAAAAACTCCCTCTTCCTCCTTCCCCCAGCCACCCGTTCTTTCTGTCTCTATGAATTTGACTAGGTGCCTCGTATCAGTGGGCTCTTACAGGATTTGTCCTTCTGTGACTGGGTTATTTCATTTAGTCCTCAGGGTTCAACCACACTGTAGCGTGTGTCAGAATTTCATTCCTTTTTAAGGCTGAATAATATTCCACTGTATGGACAGACCACGTTTTGTTTATCGATTCGTCCATCAGTGGCATTTGGGTTGCTTCGACCTTCTGGCTATTGTGAAAAAGATTGTGATGAACGTGGGCGTACAGATATGGAAGAGGCACTTCATTTTAAGAGATGCTTCTTATATCAGATAAGCATGGGAAACGGCGATGAACATTCTCACCTTGACTGGGGAAGAAGGAAGAAGATGCTTTGTAAAAAGAGAAATCATGCGAGTCAGAGGAATCACTGGCATCGATGACACCGTGCTAAGCAATTTACCTGCTTTCCCTTATTTAAGGCCCACAGTAACCTGTGAGCTGGTTTCTCTCACGACTCCCATTGTTTTACAAACAAGGAATGCAAAACTCAGAGAGGTTAATTAATTTCCCCAGGGTCACGCAGCTAGTCAGTGTGAATTAAACTCTGTCCCCGCTTGCAGTAGAGCGAAGCACGCTTTCCTGGTCCCTTGAATAGACACAGATTTCTTGAATTTTTATTTCTACATGTCGTTGCTTCTCACTTCATTCCTCAAGTCACTCCAGACACAAGGACAAATGTTCCCTTGGCCTGTGCCCAGGGCACTTTACAGCAGCCTAAGCCTTTCCAGGGAGTGGCTTTTGCAGGCAGGACTCTCCCCAACCCCATCTTCACAAAAGTGCTCTCTGATGAGGCCTCCCTGGATTGAGAAACTTCTGTGCAAGCATCTTCTAAGCTTTCATTGGGGGGGGGGGGGGGGGCAGGGGGGGGAGTGTTGGAGGGCCGGGGAGGACAGAAGGAGAAGGAGGCAAGGGACGGGGCGCAGGAGACAACGGCACGGGGAGGGGCGA